TCTTTAGGGTTGGGAAAGGGTTGAGAAGGCAGCCTATTGTTCATTTGAGCTTGCATATTACTAATCAAAGTTTCAGAGGCTGTTTGTCTTTCTTGAAGTTGCTTAAGACTTATGTCAACCGAAGTAAATTTATCATCCATCTTTTTAAGCACTTGTTCTAACATATGGGTTGCCCTATCTTGCTGGGGAGGTGGATTATTAGAAAAATTCAGATTATTACCCCTGGGAGGACCATAACACATATTTGGATGATCTCTCCAACCCTCGTTATAAGTGTTAGAAAAAGGATCATACTTCTTTTGGTTGTTATTATTGAAAAACAAAGCATTGACTTCAGGATTTTGGAGTGTTGGACACGCATCAGTAGGATGTCCTTCCAAGCAACACACTCCACAAGGTTTACCCTTACTACCCCCTACATTACCCACCACAAGTTTAGAAATAACATCAGTTAAGGCAGAAAGCTTATATTCTAAAGAAGATGAATTTTCTATCTCGCTAACCGGCCTCACGACGGTATCTCGAGTTCCAAATTGTTGGGTATTTTGGGCAATAGTATTAAAAAGCTCCCTCGCTTGAGCGGGGGTTTTGTTCACTAATGCACCACCGCTAGCGGCATCAACAATGCCCCTCTCGGTAGGCAAAAGTCCTTCATAAAAATATTGGATTAACAGCTGTTCAGTTATTTGATGTTGAGGACAAGAACAAACAAGCTTATTAAAACGCTCCCAATACTCAGAAAAGTTCTCCCCATTCAACTGTTTAACCCCACAAATCTCTTTCCTAATCGACCCAATCCTAGATGCCGGAAAAAATTTCTCAAGAAAAGCTTTATGAAGGTCGTTCCATGTTGTGAAAGATCCAGCTGGCATATAGTAAAGCCAATCCTTGGCCTTATCGGAAAGGGAAAAAGGGAAGGCTCTAAGTCTGATTTGGTCGGGAGAGACTCCTTCAGGCACCATTGCACCACAAGTGATCACAAATTCAGATATGTGCCTAAAAGGATCCTCTCCAGGAAGACCATGAAACTTAGGAAGAAGATTGATAAATCCAGAATTAAGTTTAAGGGGTTTTTCCAACTCACCATAAGTAATGGAAATAGGCTGAATGGTCAAGTCAGGTGCAGCTAATTCTCTAAGAGTACGGTTAGGGGCTGCCATCCTAGAACTAGCTTGATTATGAAAAGTTGATTCTTTAAAATCAGATTCACTTATGTTTTGCACGCATACACTCACAGGTGTAATTTCAGATATGGTAAGCGCAGACCCAAACAGTTCCACAAGATTATCCAAATTAAAAGAAGGTTCGGCTTCACTTACCTAGTCGCTATTACTACCTGTTTCACTTTTGCTTTCTTCACCAATTACTTTACCACTTCTTAATCGCATAAACACAAGCTGCAAAAGTTGAAGACAATGCAGTATCAGTGTTTCTTTAAAACACTTTAAAGAAAGGAAACGAGACAATTTTATACAAAGAGAAGCACTTAAATTCTTAAATAAGGAAAAAAAATCAGATTCTTTGTGAAAAATTAAGCTCAAAAATCAAACTCCAGAATCAGATTTTTAACCATTTTTACATTTTCAGAACATATATCAGCATATATTGATTAGAAAACAAGTCCCAAAATGCCCGGTGTACTTTGAAATTAGTTCCTATGCTTCTATTTTAGCCAATAGAGTTCAAATTTCAGTATTAAGGCATCTTAGGAACTTAAGAATCAACATAAAAAGGAAAAAACATACTGCAGTTTTTTTAAAGAAAAAAAAAATAGCAACTTTAGATCAGGTTTTTTCCAGAAAAAACTGCACTTAAAACCTCACAAATTTGACCCTTGACATCATGTATTGCATCTAAATATTGTCCTTAAGATAGATATATCAATGATAGTGCATATTCTTAGCAAAGGAGCATTTTAAGAGGCAAAAACAGCATGAAGAAAAAAAACTAAAAGTGCAGATTATTAAAAAAAACAGCAAGAAGAGTTCAGATTTTTACAAAATTAGGCACGAATTCATGAATAGTTAGTATATTCAGGCTGAATATAGAACATACAATGACGCATACAAGTTAAAGTTAGTTCCGACTCTAATAGTTCACATATATACTCAAAGTTACAAGAAAGTTAAAAAAAACGAGTAAAGTTAAAGTATTTACAACATGCTTACAAGAATACATATGCATACGAAACTGCTTTTTTACAAAACAATTTCCCCGGCAACGGCGCCAAAATTTGTTGGGGACTTGTCGTGCGGTCCAAAACAAATTAAAAATTTATAAATATCCTTAACTAACCCCCAAGATATAATCAAATAAAAACTATAGCTAGGGCAAGTAAGGGTCGATCCCACGGAGAAATGTTGTACTTTTTAAAACCAATTTAGCATGCAAACACATTGTCATGAAAATAAATATAAAAAAAAACAAACTACTACACAAATGACAATAGTTATAAAACTTATAACTAAATAAATTTAAAAACTTATAAATATAACTTATATAAACAAAGAACTATAATATAACTAAAAACATAAAACACATACATAAGATATACTAAAAAAAGGTATAAAAACTTATATTTATAACTTGAAACACGAGGGGGGGGTTGAATAAAAAGTAAATATTTTTGGTTTTTATATTTTCTTATTTTTTTTGGTTCTTTTTTATAAAATGGGGGAAAACAAGCTCAAAAGATAATCAACTTCTTCAACCGAGGTAACCCGAAAAACACCGCCAAGAACCCGAAACAAAATTTAAAAAAACGAACACAAATCGAACATTACACGTATAATAGGCACGTAGACAATATATTACGTAACTTACGCACTTAAGAATAGGAAAAACAATCAAAGGCCGAGTCGATTCATTTCGTTAACCACGATATGGAGGATTGTCAACTCTCCACACGGCCCGGAGTCATGCAATTCAAAGGCCCGTTTTGAAATATACCTTAGAACCCCAACTCTCTATTCAAGCATGAAAACATACTTCCACTATAGAAAAAGTTTATAAAAGAGAGAATCTATTATGCATTCAACTCTCATACATAGTCTATTCTCAAACCGCCAATACCCTATGCATTTTAATAAACTTTTTCTCCTAATGATGAGCACATTTCACAGATTTCCATGAACTTCTCAAACCAATGACGTTTTTTCTATTCACATAGAGGAACACAACGTATTTTCAATAAAATGAGAATTGTTTATTGCACTTAAACAATCTCAATTTAAAGAAAATGGAAAACAAACATATAACATAACAAAATCACTNAAGGAAAATGAATCAACTTATGGGGCTAAGAAGTCCAAAATCCTTAAAATCAACGAACACATGCACAACAAATAAACACGTATGAATTCGGAGTTCATTTAGCTATCTTATGGAGCTAAAATAGCTTCAACAAAAACCGAATTCTACATAAAACCTACTTATGAATTTGAAACAATTAAATCAAATCAACACCAACTTGTGCAATAATTGAAGTAAATAAGAAAGAATTAATTCTCATTCATAAGGGATTGTATATAAACATTTAAAACAAGAACATACACCCAAAAGAACACCAACCGTTATATTTTTTTCAGATTCTATTACATGAACAAGTAACAAAATAAAAATGATATATTGGAAAAAAACAACACTTGAACATAGAAACAACAAAAGAATTGAAAATTTAAAGGGTTGACTTCCGGATTAAGTCCGGAAGCCAATTTATTTGGGTACCTATAGAAGAAGAAGATGAAGAAATTGAAGAATGGAGCTCTCTGGTTCGTTCCCCCCCCTCTGCTGCTATTCCTTGTCCAATTTATAGACGGGAGGAATTTTTTTCTGTTGGAGCGTTTTGAGTGAAGAGAGAGAACAAGGAGCCGTTGTTGACTTGATTTGGAGAGCAATTCATGGCCGAACGTTGAAGGAGATGCGTTACTGCCAATTTGAATAGGTCGCTGCTCTTCTCCTGGTCTTGCACTTGCTTCAATCGCAGGAAGCATTTTTTTTCTTGCGTGACTTTGAATTTGGGGGAAGGAGACTTGGGCTTATCTTTGTTTAATTGAGTTGTTGATGATGGGTTTGGGCTCCGGTCCAAACTCAATCTTTTCTTTTCAAACATGAGCTTCAATTTGGCCTTTTACTGCAATTTATTCCAAAACAAATAGGATATCTGGTAACTTGGGTTAGGAAAAATAAAAATATTAAAATAATAACATGTAAAAAAAAGATTAAAAACAACTATTTTTGAATGGAAATAAAAGGTTTGTAATAATAGGAATTAAAATAAAATTAAGCTAAACAAATGAAAATTAAACAATAAAAGTACTAAAAATGCCAAAAAGAGAATTAAAAATATTAACCCAAACCCGAGTTATCATATGCGAACATGAATTAAAACAACATTTTATTAAATAAAGGAAACTTACAACTTCCGTACAAGCGGAATTGAACAGTTTGGAGTCAATACCTCCAAAAATACTTCAAAACTAATACTAACACTAATCTACACGAAATATTGACTAAAATAGAGAGGAAACATGAGTGGGGTTGAGAGATGGTGTTGAAATGAAGAGGATCCGCACTGTATTTATAGGCTACGAACTACATGCATCCAACTCCCTGGGCATCTAACTTTGGACGCCTGTACACCCAACACGTGTTCCGTCCAGTCGCTGGTTGCCACGTGTCATTCGCGTGTCAGCTGTGGTTTCTTGGGAGTCCAACTACCCCGGACGTCCAACTTTGGACGCCCAAGATCCGAATCTTGCGCCCAATTTGTGAATATTCGAGATCTTGGCCCATTTTTGCTCTGTTTTGGTACGTTTGACTCCTGAACACTTATTTCTACCTCCAAAGTATTATGATCTTTAAAATCTGAAACTTTTCATCCAATTTGGAGCATAAAATTGACAAATCCACTTAATTTAATTCGGAACCCGTATTTTATTTTTCTTGAGACAAAACCTAAGTTTTGTCACTAATAGACACTTTAATGTGTAAATTTATTACTATTTTCGTGCAATAACGCTTAAAGTATGTAGAATAAAATAAGAAAAAACTGAACTTATCACCCGTTCAGGCAGCCCCACTCAACCGGCCCAACGCTGCCAGCCCAATGGCCCAACGCAGCAGGCCCAACAACCGGACCCGCCAGCCCAGCAGCCCGGACAGTCCGCCCAATGACCCGGTTAGCCCAACTGCCCGGACAGCCCCTATTGAATCTAAACCGACCCGTTTGCACCAAAGTCAATCCCAATTGAAACCCGATTCCACAAGAGCTAACCCAATTGAACCCGAATTGACCCGATTAAACCAATTCGGTCCAAATCAAACAAATTGGGTCCAAATTGGACCCGCCGAAAACTGCATGTACGTCGGCCGTAGCCACCGCCAGCCAATCGCCGGAAAACAGCCCCCAACACAACCCCAATCCAATCTAATGCACAATCAAACACAAAATTGTTACCACAAGATCCTAATCTACGAATTAATTCCAACTACAGATATAGTAACCACGAATCACCTCGAAATTAAAGAATCAAAAACCAAATCGAAAGAGAGAAGCTCGTCGCTACACTCCCTGTTGCGGTCGAATCTACCGTGCGACAGAGAAGGAGGAACGGAGACGGCGGCTACAGCATTCGGCGAGGGCGGCGTCGGCGGAGCTCGGCTGCGCTGCTGCTGGCTGACGGGACAACGAGAGTGAAGGAAAGTCAGGCGTAGAGGTACTGATGGGAAACACACGAGGACTGGAGAGTGTCCGTTTCTTTGTAACCCCTCCTAATTCGGTGGTCATATCTTGGGCCCTGTAAGTCTGATTCTCAATCTGTTCGCGTGGTCGAGTTCAGAACAGCAAGCCCTACAACGTAGGTCAACTCTCATATTAAATACGTAAATTAGAAAATAATCTTCATTTTGACTAAGTCAGTAATTAATTAATTATATAAATTAATTACAAATACCAACCCGGGTTTTGGGGCGTTACATTTCTCTCCCCCTTAAAAGAATTTCGTCCTCGAAATTACCTGAATCACTATCGAAGAAGAGGTGAGGATAATGAACTCTCATGGACTCCTCGGTCTCCCACGTAGCCTCTTCGACAGCATGGTTACGCCACAAGACTTTGACTAGAGGCACCTTCTTATTCCTCAACTCTTTCACCTCTCGTGCTAGAATCTGCACCGGCTCATCCTCATATGTCAAGTTCTCGTCCAGAGTCACCGCACCTTCGGGTAATCGATGGGTCGGATCTGATCGGCAACGTCGGAGCGTAGACACATGGAACATGTTGTGAATCTTGCTCAGCTCAGGTGGTAGCTCCAACTGATAAGCTACGGGGCCAACCTTCATAGTGATGGGATAAGGCCCAATGAAATGAGGACTCAATTTTCCTCTCTTTACAAAACGTAGAACCTTTTTCCAAGGTGACACCTTAAGAAAAACCTTATCCCCCACTTCGAAAGAAATCTCCCGACGCTTCAAGTCTGCATAAGATTTTTGCCGATCTGATGATGTTTGCAAACGCTCGCGGATTAACTGTACCTTTTCTTTTGTCCAACACACTGGTGTTCTACACCTCCTCCCGTACAGTGCCTCGTATGGGGCCATCTGAATACTCACCTGATAACTATTATTATAAGCAAACTCCATCAACGGCAAGTATCGCTCCCAATTTTCCCCAAAGTTGATCACACACGCTCTCATCATGTCCATAAGTATCTGTGTCACGTACACACTTAGATTGATCGTCAGTCTGAGGGTGGAAGGCTGTGCTCAAGTTTAACTTTGTACTCAAGGCCTGCTAGAGTCTCTTCCAGAACTTTGAAGTGAAACGAGGATCTCTATCGCAGATAATGGATACACGTACCCCATGCAACCGAACAATCTCGCGGAGGTACAACTCCGCTAACTTCTGTAGTGACATATCTCATCGAACAGGTAGGAAATGCGTAGATTTCCTAAGACGATCCACGATGACTCATACAGCATCATTCTTACGGGGAGACAAGAGCAGCCTAATCACGAAGTCCATCGTGATCCCCACTTCCACTTAGGAATAGAAGGCGGATGCAACAATCTCGATGGTACTTGATGTTCAGCTTTGACTTGCTGACAAGTCAAGCATCGTGCTGTAAACTCACAAATTTCCTTCTTCATCACAGGCCACCAATAGTTCCCCTTTAAGTTGTGGTACATCTTGTTGCTTCCCGGATGTATAGTGTATGCTGACTCGTGAGCCTCACGTAGCAGATGCTCCCTCACGTCCCTGTATGGTATCACAAGACGATTGTGGAAAAACAAGATTCCATCAGCACCAACCGTAAACTCTGGTCTCCTCCCACTAGAGGCAAGGTCTCGTGTCATGCAACAGAACTCATAGTCCACCTGAGCATTCCGGATTTCCATATCTAACGTCGCTTGTACATGGAGTTCAGCTATCAGCTTGCGGCTCAAGGCATCGGCCACCACATTAGCCTTGCTCGGGTGATACTCGATGGTGAAATCGTAGTCCTGAGAAGTTTTAACAAGCGCCTCTGTCTTAGGTTCAGATCCTTCTAGGTCAACAAGTACCTCAAACTCTTATGATCAGTATATATAAGAATCTTTTACTAAAAACATAGTGTCGCAAGATTTTCAGAGCAAAAACAACTGCTGCTAGCTCCATATCATGAGTCGGATAATTACCCTCATGTGGTTTCAGCTGCCTCTAGGCATAGGCAACCACCCTACCTTCTTGCATGAGTACACAACCCAATCCACAAAGAGATGCATCACTATAGATCGTGTACTCACGACCCGGGTCTGGCTGGATCAACACCGGGGCTTTAGTCAAACACTCCTTCAGCCTATCAAAAGTGCTCTGGCACGCGTCTGTCCATGCAAACCTCACATCCTTCCGTAGGAGTTTAGTCAGAGGGGAAGCAATCGCGGAGAACTCTTTCACGAACCGACGGTAATATCCTGTGAGTCCGAGAAAACTCCTCACTTCCCTAGCATTACGGGGAACTTTCCAGTCAACTACAGCAGAGATCACGTGACCTAAGAAAGTCACCTCAAGCAAAAACTCACACTTGGACAACTTTGTGTAGAGTTTCTGCTCCCTCGGGATGGTTAATACTTTATATAAGTGGCACGCATGTTCCTCGGGATTCTTTGAGTAAACGAGGATGTCATCAATGAAGACCACGACAAATTGATCCAAGTATGGCCGAAAGACATTGTTCATTAGATCCATAAAGATAGAAGGGGCATTAGTGAGTCCAAAAGGCATTACGGTGAACTCATAATGTCCGTAACGCGTCCTAAAAGCTGTCTTCGGTATGTCTTCCTTCTTTACTGGAATCTGATGATATCCAGACCTTAAGTCAATCTTTGAGAACACCCTGGCTCCACGTAGCTGATCAAACAAATCATCAATGTGCGGTAATGGATAACGGTTTTTAAGAGTCACCTTATTGAGCTGCCGGTAGTCAATGCAAAGCCTCACAGACCCATCCTTCTTTCGTACAAAAAGGACAGGTGCGCCCCAAGGGGAGACACTTGGGTGGATGAGTCCCCTATCCAGCAACTCCTGTAACTGCGCCTTTAACTCCTTCATCTCTGCTGGAGCCATGCGATAGGGAGTGGCCGAAATGGGTTCCGTACCAGGAACTAAGTCAATGGAGAATTCTATCTCCCTTGGGGGAGGCAGACCTGGTAGCTCGTGAGGAAACACGTCAGGAAAATCACGTACTTAAGGAATATCCTCAAGGCTAGGAGGCTCCTTCCGTACATCTTTCACGGTGCATAGGAACGCCTCGCACTTCTTTCGGATCAATCTCTTGGCTTGCATATAAGAGCTAGATAAACTCAGGCGCCTTGGGAAATAACTCTCCATTGATCATGATTGTGTCTCCTTCCGGTGCTCTCAACCGTACGGTCTTTGAACTGCAATCTACGATTGCCTGGTGCTCGGTAAGCCAATACATTCTAAGGATAATGTCAAATTCCTTGTATGGAAGTTCGATAAGATCTGCGGGAAAGATCTTCCCACGCGCGGTCAATGGACATTGTCAGTAGACGTGATGTAGGCTCATACTGTGCCCAAGGGGATTGGACACCAGCATCGGACTCTCCAACTGACCTCTCGCGACAACAGAATTTGCAAGTAAAGGAACACATATATATGACAGTGTGGGCCCAGGGTCAATCAATGCTAACAAATCCAAACCAAAGAGTGTGAACATACTATGTATGACGTCAGGATTAGGATCGCCACGCCCTTGCATAGCGTATGTGAGACCGAGGAATCCATGCGCACTCGTTATCCACATCTTTTCAGTGACCAGTGATCAGGTAAATTTCGAGGACGAAAATTTCTTAAGGGGTGGATAATTGTAATGCCCTGTAACCCGATCTAATAGAATTGATTAATTTAATTAATTAATTACTGTTTTGGACCGGAGTTGGGGGAAATTAAAAGTTCTTAGAAAAATTATTTGATCATATCATTAAATTCGTTTTGACTGTCTGATTCCAGAAACGCAACCGGATCTCAATTCAGACCCGCTCGGGGGAAAAAGCGCGTACCATTCAGGTCAGATTCTACATTACGGAGTAAATAAATTTTGTAACTCCCCTAAACCCTTGCTTCGGCCCCTCAACACCACCATTACTCTCATTCATTAGGCTCCATAATCCACCTTTAAAACTCCATCATTTCCCCTTCCATCACCTCCCATTTTGTAACCCCCAAGAATTCACAATCCTCACACTCTCTCTCTCTCTTACTTTCGGCCAAGGCAACAACAGCCAGGGAGGTCTCCGGCGAAGCTCCGGTGGGTGCACGGTTGAGGGAGAAGGAAGGAAAGAAGAGCTAGGGCGTTCGTGCGAAGCGTAGTCGTCTCTTGTCCGTTCGTTGGCGCCATTCGTTCATCTCATTCCATCAGTCCCTTCGTTTAGAGGTGAGTAGTCGTCCCTCTAATGCTAGAACATTTCGTTATAATCTATGTCGTTATATTCATAGGAATATCGTACGCAACCTACGTAGAATCTATGCATGTTCGTAGGTTAACCATCCAACATACGTGTGTCCATGTTATAAAGTTAAGTGCTCGTTAATATAAATGTTGCGAAACCTTGTAAGTCTATCGATTATCTAGCATGGAAATATAAACATTCGTTTCTAAAACTTCCAACGTTTTGATAACAAACAAACAGATATATTGGAAGTCAGCGTGTCTTGATAATCGAGTTACAGAATAGTAGAATCGACTGTCAGGCCACGCTGGACTCCTTAGTTGATTCAGCACAGCGTGATAATCGATTATCACATATGTGATAATCAACTATCAGGCCCTGCGGATTCCTGGGTCTGAGTTGGCTTCATTGATAATCGATTATCACACAGGCAATAATCGATTATAAGGTCTCTCTGAACTTAGGACTTTCGAGATAAACCAACTTGACAATCGATTGTCATAGGGTGACAATCGATTATCACAGTCTGCAAGACTTTGGGGACAGAAGCTGCACAACATGATAATCGATTATCAACAGCAGACAATCGATTATCAGCCAGTTCTGAACCTAGGGCCATCATGTTGAACAAATCGTAATCAAACACATATGTATGAATTGAATTTAACTCTCTTCTTTAATCAATGCATTTACCATGTTTGTTCTAGACGCATGTTCTAGGTTTTCATCATGTGCATACCGCTGTAGGGAGGATTCCGTGCGCCTATTACAGTGGGCCCGTCAAGGTACCTTTGGGGACCAACGGGTTTTCATCATGTTGGGCTTGTGTACGTACATAGTAGTCAGGTTACGGCTACTACCCGGTTTTGCTAGTCCACTCGCGACATCTTAGTCGTGCCCGGCTCGTTGCCGTTTGGGGACGATGACCGGAGTGCAGGGGTGATCCTGTCGAGTGAGACTAATCCAGGGGTGTCCCTGATAGTTTAAGTCATGCATCAGGTCATTTGTATGTTCCTTATTAGTCGAGATAGCTTAAACAGGTGAAAACTAAACAGTTCATAATGTGTGGTTTTCCCGTACGTTAAGTACAGGTATTAATACGGGTATAGCCATATGGGTTGTCACTTAATGTTCTTTGTTAGATTCACTCCTCAGCTTTTGCTGAGCGTGTAGTTGTTTTTGCTACACGCAGGTAGACATGACGGAGCGGGTGCCAACCCTGGAGAGCAGTGACGATGGAGAGATGGGCGGCGCACGGATGTTAGGCGTGTCGTAGCACCTACAAATTAATCTATTATTTTCCTTAACTCGAATCCCTCTTTATGAATTAATATTGATTAAAACATATAGATAGAGCAAGTAAGGGTCGATCCCACGAGGAAAGATACTTTTTAGGCTATGACAATCAGTTCACTTGTCACTTTTATTGAATAAAAACTAACTAAAATCTAAAAACTAAAACTAAAGGATATTGGGGGTTTGAATGATAATTCTAAAAAAACAAAAATGCAAATAAAATAAAGATAAGGATAACAGTCTAGAGATGGAACCAAAGCAGCAACTCGAACTCAGAAGACACTCAGAGAGAAACAAACACACAAACAAACACACATTTAAACTTTATAAAACGTAGACAATAATAATTAACTTAAACCATTTTGAAAATACTTATAGTTTTTAGTAGAAAATAAATTGAACAAATCCGATAAACCAATTAATTATGTCTTGATTCTGAAATTAAACTGCTAATTAAACTCAGGGTTAGGCTGAAGAAGAGGTCCACCAACGGCCCTTCCCTATTTTCCCATTCATATTAGCTCATGTTAAGACCAACCCTAACTCTAAACCCTACTATCCTTAGCAACCGAAAGACCAACCCTTAAGTTACTACTAAGAATAGCGCATTAAAATCTTTGGAAAACATCACCATAACAATCTTGCAGTAACACTACGGTTATTTAACAAAACCAGTTCGAGAACCTTGATTAGCAAAAACTACTTAACGAGGCAGCAAGTACTAATCAAGTGACACTTGGTTTCTAGAAAAGTTCGGCTATTAAAAGCACTTTGGACTTTAAAAGAATATCATTTTAAACTGGATTAGGTCGCGATCCTAATTTGGTCCAACTTAAGTAAAATCTGGTGAATAATAGTTCTCAGAACACCTTTTGAGTTTAGATTTAACAGTAGCGTAGAGCTAAAATCTCTTCAAAGTCAAATTAATTCAAAAAACAAAGATTCAATAAATCATAACTTGAACAATTCAACATCAACACAAACAATTCAACACTTATAATATAACTTAAACATTCAACAAATTAACATGAAATTGAAAATAAACATATTTAAATATTGGAATTCAAATTTATCAATTTAAAAAAAATTAACAAATCTAAAATCCTAATGTTAAAGAAGTAAAATCAATTTGAAGAAACAAAAGGAATGGACATGCTCCCCTGTGACTGTCGCTTCTTTGTTCAGTGCACAGACCATCAGATGAGTCGCCATCCACCGCTGCGCTCCATCTTCGTCACTAGTCTTCATCACCAGCATTCATGGCGTGCAATTGTTGTTCCCTTCGTCGGAGGACGCCGCGCCGGACCTAGGGGTGAAACCCTAGGTCGGCTCTCTCTGTTCCGTTTCTGCCTCCCTCCTTTTGTCTCATCTCTATCTCTTCTTTTTATAATTGAAATTGAAAGTCATTGAATTGGAGAAGAAAACTCTGGGAATCCAACTCTTCGCACTTCCCGTTTCTTGCGCCTAGGAGGAACACGGCTGGTCTTTCCTGCTATGCTTTCTACGGATTGGAGGACTATTTATTTTTTTTTTATTGTCCTTCTGATTTCCTCCATATTGGTTTATGATGGGCCAAATAGCTGTTTGGGCTGGGCCTATTCTTCACTTTCTTCCAATGCTTTTTTACTCCAAAATATATCTAAAACATATTAATTAAGGAAAATAACACTCTAAATTAATTAATAAATATAAATATGCTCAAAATCATGCATTTTATGTATAAAATGTAAACAATAGCCTAAAATGCTAAATTTAACAAAATATGTTCATTTAAGTATAAAATGCATATAAAATATCTTAAAAGTACTAAGAAATGAGGGAATAAAATATGAAATTTTGTGACTTAACAACGGACACACTCATATTTACTTTTAATTTCTTAATTAATCATTTGGGCATGAACCCACCCTTGTCATTATTTAGTTTGGACTGGACTTACTTATTTACTTTCGCATTTACTCTGCACGTTTACTACACACGTTTTGGGAATAACTCCCTGGCATTAATTCCCTAATCAAAACACACCTGTTTTCTTATTAAATAATCATCAATGTTTTTGTAACGGACGGTCCTTGTAACCCTGCCGGTCTGTCGGGTCGCGGGTGAACCGGGTCCACGGAAGGCGGGTGTTACAGTATCAAAAGATTTCGTGTCCAAAAATTTAAAATTCTATCTGTTGGAGGGCAACAGTAACACTGATTGTCGATTGTCAAGTTTTGTCACTCGACTATTAGGCATCTCAGAAGTTTCTAGGTTTGAACAAGAAACTCAGATAATCGAATGACAACTTGTGTCAGTCGACTATTGGATGGTTCTGAACTTTGAGTTCAGAAACTGCAGTAGCCAATATTCGAATGTCATTAGCTGACAATTGATTTTCAGCTGGCTAAAACCATCCGGCGAGAAACTTAACCCGAAAAGCCGAGGTCCAAAAACGAAGTGTTCCCAAAAGTAAAAACCAAGTTTGAAAAACATTGTATATGGTATAAATAGTAAAACCAAGACTTTTTTGATAAAAACCAAGTCTTCGAGGTCATTTGTCACGTGTGTACGGTTTTGACCGTTTTTCACGTGTTAGACCGATTGACCAAGATACAAAAGTGGTTTTTGTAAAATAATTATTTGGGAACCTTTTAAATATGCCCAGAAGTAAAAACGAGGTTTAAAAATATTGAAAACCACCAAGTTGGTTCGGACGCCAAAAACCGAACGCCGAACCCCGAATGCCGGACGCCGATGCCGAACATCGAACGCCGATGCTGAACATCGAACGCCGACCGAGGTGGTTTTTGGTCTTTGCACGGACCAAGTTTTTTAAGACATTAAAACTTTATTTTAAAAAAAATTATTTTGATGCACAAAAAACGTTTTATGATTTTGTAAACTTATTTTGACTCTTTGAGAACCGAGACTTGAATTGATTGTCAGTTTTGATCACAATAAGACCGACTCGACTAAGTCTTCAGTTCTTGATCTTTTTCCTCGAGTCTTTTGGTCTTGTTCCATGCCATACTTCACACCTTGAGTTGTTCAACGAAACTCTTCATATCCACGGCGGTTTGGCAATTATCAAAATCTGTCAGAAATGAACACGACTTTAGTTTAACGTAATAAAAAGTATGTTCCAACAATTTCCCACTTTTTGATAATGGCAAACAAGACAGGGATATGCATAGGGTTTTGATCTTTTTGAAAAAAAATTCCCCCTTAATGAAAATTCCCCCCTTAATATATGCATAGCCCTTATCTTCCCCCTTTTGACATTAACAAAAAGATTTAACAACACAAACCATAAAGGAGAGATCATCGAGGAGTTGGTCTTTGTCAATGTCTTCCTCTTCCTCTTCTTCTTCTTCTTCTTCTTCTTCTTCTTCCTCTTCTTCTTCACCATCTTCAACTCCAACGTCATTTGTCCCGCTTGGTTCACCCCCGAAGTTTAGCGGAGGAGCGTAAGGGTAGTTGACAAAGTCAAAATACCCGTGAAGCTCACGGCTCAAAATGTTGACATTTTGGGCCGTTTGGGAGACGTTGGTGTGGATCCGAGAAAGGGTGAGGGTCAAGGCGGCCATTTGCTCGGCTAGAGATGGGGTGTTTGAAGAAGCATCCCTTGGTTGGCGTCGTGGACGAGGCTGTCGGAACGGAGTTTCGTCGGTGCCCGAGTTGAAGGAGGATTCATCAATCTCCCAATACTTTGTCCCCTTTTGCTTTGGCCCAACGTCGGTCTTGATGTTGTACTCATCAAGAATCGCCATGACGAGGAGGGTGTTGGAGTTGTGCCCTGATGGCCAACTGTTCATCGTTATCCTATCATGTATAGGCAGATATAATATGTTTACACATCTCATGCTAATGTAAACAAATATTATATTCCTAGATTTATATTTAAAGATGTTTATCAGATAGTGTTATTCTGCTGATGAGACTAACATCTTGAAATAAATATTTATCTGAATGTCCATAGTCAAGTATTAATGAGAGTGGGATATCGTTAATGCATGTGAGACTAGTGTGTGTTGGATGTTTGACTTAGTCTCATAGTCAATGACGGTGTGTTCGCATCCGCACATGGGCAGATATTATCTAGAGATAATAGGATGCCGGACTGACCCATCCTAAAGATGTTGCTTGAACTTTTAGTTCATCCTCTAAGCATCTTTAGCGTGACCACGGGTGTAACTATCCTTCGACTTGAAGTATTATGTTTTCTGCATATGTGAACCCGCATACTTTGATGCATCGTCCTAAGCCATATGAAATAAGGATGGTATACAGGCTTTGTTTTGGGTATGTCGCAGCGCGTATTCAAAAACGTAGATTACGTATGATGGGTATATCCCTATACCCGACCCGGACAACCGAAAGGGACAGGTCAAAATATGACCGGTCACTTTTATCTATCACCAAATGAGGTTAACTCTTCGATTGGGACGGGTCAAAAGTTGACCGGTCACTTCCACTAAAAAAGTGACCGGTCACATTTTGGGCGATAGCCAAAATGTCGCCTAATGTTACAAAGGACATTCTAGAAGATCAGAGGGTTGAGCACAAAGAATGACTGGGTAACCTTTGAGAGAAGGTGACCGGTCATGTCACTTTACTTTGCAAACATTGGTCCAGTATCTCAGACATGGTGAACCACGTATGAGATCGAGGGACCACCCCACCGTTCGTCCATCACGAGGCAAACAGTGAAAGGAATGTTTGTCATTTTGCAGGGCTGATTGGATTGAGAATATCCATTTATAGTCTTTGATTGAACAGTACATGTCTTGGCTTATAGTTGCTAAATTCATTGATTGAATAGTAGATTGATTATGTACAGTGACCTTCCTCCGGGTTTCCTATTTTGTCCATGGNGTCCATGGATGAACAGGGGAAGGTCACAAATCCTCCTCTATAAATATGATGATATTGGATAGAGGAGGGGATCCATTCTTTCTCTCACTAAAAACTAGTACACTCTTGAGACAGAGTAAGAAATATATTTCGGACTGAGGAGATTTACCCGGTCTAGGTCATACTTTGTGTTCTTGTTGTGTGTTTTATATTACGGGTCAAGTGTCCAGGTTAAACCCGGTTAACCCGTCTAGCTATATTTACACCATCATTTTTGGCGCCGACCGTGGGACCGATTTTTAAAGTTTTTTCGACCAGGTCAAAACTTTACCCCCACTAAATATCCACAATCATGTCTTCAAGCAACCACAACATTGTGTCTATCCGGGCTGCGAGTGAAAGCACTCCTGCCATCCCACTGATGATAACGAGCATGGGGACGACCTTTGCCCCAATCACCACGGTAGGATCAATTGGCATGATCCCAATCATGTCAACCCCTACTCCTACGCCAACGACGACAATGTTCCCAGGCTCAATAACAACGCCTGGGGGGGCATTCACGCCATATCCCTCAAGCTTGGCTCAATTTGCTGCTGACCCGGCAAACGCTCAAGCTCTGCAGGGCTATCAACAGGTGATGGCCATGATGCAACAGGCAGGGGGCTTCATGCCATTTTCCTATCCTGGCATGATGCCACCGATCATGAGTCCTATGGCACCCCCGGTTTTGACCCCGTCGGCATTCGTTCATAGAATGGTTCCTATACATCCGGTGAATCTGACGGGGACCATGAATGATGCAGCGCCCTCAAATGTCCATGAAGTTGACGAGGCGGAATAGGAGGCAGCCCGCATGAGGAAGGGTAAGGCTATAGCCAAACCGAGCAAGACTCAAGATTCGGCGTTCAAATGCCTAGGGGACAAAGAGGATGGACCCCGCAAGTCTGCCAAGCTACGTCTTGGTCCTGAGATGGACCGGACTAGCGCAATGGAAAGACTTGGCGGGAGTCGTCATGCCCAATCTCGTCGTTCTAGGGAATCTAAGACGATTCACCTAGATGAGGAGGAAGCTGAAAGCCAGCCTAGAGCATCGACATATACCAGGCTCTCGTACGATGAGGATGACCTGGACAAGATGGGGAGCATAGTGAGAAAGCTACATGCCTTGGAGGAAAGGGTAGAAGAGAAGGAGGGAGCGAAGAAGCACACCCTGGCCAAATCACCCCTTTCAGCCACGGTATATGCACAAAACTTGAGGCGGAAGGTCAAGCTGGACGTGGAGAAATTCAATGGAAAGGAGGATCCAAATGTCCACCTTGACACCTTCCATAATGCAGCGCAAATGGCCGGGTGTACTAATGCTGAAGAATGCCTACTCTTCTTCTCATCCTTGAGAGGGAGGCCAGTGGAATGGTTTAACAGCCTTCCACATGGTAAGATCGGGTCCTTTGAAAAACTTGCTGAGATTTTTCGCAAGAAGTACACGGACAACTGCATCAAAAGGAAGAAGTTCACCTACCTTAACACGGTAGGGCAGAGGGAAAAGGAGTCCTTGACTCAGTTCTTAACTCACTGGAGGGACGAGGTCGACAAAGTAGAAGAGATGGACGACAAGACGGCCATGTCTTTGCTGATGAATGCCTTTCGGTCGGGTGACCTATACACTGAATTTTGTAGAAGGCCACCCTCCTCTTATCAGGAAGCCTACAATACGGCATGGGAGTACACGGAGGCGGAGGTCCTAAACAAGAGAAAACGAGAACTGGAAGAAGGTTATATGAAGGTCAAGACCGAGAAGCCAAAAAAGGACGACCATATGGGAGGGTCCAGGCCAAGGACCACATATGATGGGACGACCCACCAAATTAGAAATGAGAAGAAGGGAGAATAACCCAAGCGGCCTTGGATAGAGAAGTGGTGTACCTATCACAAATCTGACTCCCACAACACGGCAGATTGCCGAAATGTCAAGGTTGTGCTCAAGGAGATGACTTTGAAAGGGGAATTGGATGAAGTATTCGTTACGGGGCTTGAGGAAGACCCATAGGCGAGTGCTTGAATCCACCCACATGAATATGATCATGGAAAGAAGAGAGGGTGGATAAGATGTGGTCAAGATTACTAAGCTTGCTGTAGACGGATCAGTCTTGATGTCTAGGACCTGGACCGTTGCATGGGCTAATAGCAAAAAAGAGAGAAAAAAGAAACCCTTGAGATAGGTGCCTTGATGTTGAGGTATCGCCTTGAGACAGGCTGGATCCGGAAGAGGATTCGCATCCATACTTACATGGATCCCTACTGACTTTTTGGTTGGGAAGGGTTAGAAAAGATGCCAAAAAAATATTACCGTCTTGTATGAGCCATCCTTTGTGGATCGGAATGTCTAGGGAAGACTAGAATTTCCAAACACATAATATATGGACGTGCAAGATTGGATGAGGGCTGGTTCTCACCAGCATACCCCCATGTGGGAAGATTAGGTTGGCTAGGTCAACCTAATAATTAGAGAATGGCACATTAAAAGACTTAAAACCTGGAAGAGGGGCCCTGGAAGAAGGGTGTTGCCTGGAAGAGGGCTGAACCTTGGAGAAGGTTCGCGATCAAAGGACATGGTCAAAATCTCTGAAAAAAGATCGGGTCTTGATGTTGAGACTTGATGATTCCAAAACCGTTTCGGATTATTTGTTCGAAGTTTGAGCAAGGTTGCTGTTAGGCATGACATCCAGGCCAAAGGAGTAAAAGAAAGTGGCATGGTCAAAAATGACCGGTCACTTTTTAATGTTCTGGATTGGCAAGAAAAAGCGAATGGGGAAAAATTAAAATTTGACCGGTCAACTTTGTCAAAAGTGACCGGTCACTTTT